TGCACCTTCACGAATACAGATGGAGGATCGGTCGCACCTCGAGATAAATACAAAGATAATTTTTAGCACGCTGCAGTTGGCATTTTATGCAGTATGATACACTTTGAATGTGAAACAAGGGGAAAAAAAACTCTTTTTGACAGTGGCGAGGAAAGACAATTTACATTTTAACTTTAAAGCATCTTCATGCCTTCTTAATAATGTCACAATTTATAGCCGACTTTTCTTGATTTTCGCCGCGGTACCCCTGGCATTTGCACCCAGTTTGAGACCTCTGCTGTAATGCCTCAGTCGAGTCAGCAGGCAAAGACCTTGCCAGCTACTGTACTACGCAACCGGGTCGAAGTTTTCCCCGCTACGACAGACTTGGGCAACAGCAACTATTGCAGTAATGAGAGAGTTATTTCAGTCCATGCAGAAATGTATGCAGAAACTGGTGTAATGTAACCACTATTCGTATTCAGCCTGACCGCAAGTATTCGGCCGAATACCGAATCGTTATTAGGTCCACTATTAAACGCATGTTGAAAAGTTTTTTTTCAAAGTGAAAGCCACACATGAAGGTAAGCAATTTTTTTTTTAAATCACATGAAAAAGAAACACAAAGTCAGCACAGTCAGAATACTGTTGCCACTTTTAGCGTTGACCCTAGTGAGAGTTTAAAGTTTAGGTAATTGAAATTGTCACAATGTACTTGCTAGACCAAAACAAAAATATTGTAGTAAATATTTTACACAATAATTATTGAACTTACACTGAAAGAAAACAAAATCTAAAAAACATCTAACTCCAATTGAAAAACATTTAGAAAACATCTACCATCTAAAGGTCAAAATACCATCTAAATGCAAATAAAAACATCTAAATCTGGATGTAAAACATTCAAAGTGGCAACACTGTGCATGACTCAAACATAACGTCTTTTACATTTGGTACAGCTCTAGTTGGATGGTTTACTTTTGTCTGTAACTGAACTAACTCACGGAGCATGAGTTAGATTTAGGTTTTTTTTTCACGGCACTCCGGAGTCACAGAGCATGTTGAGAAAGGTGGAGACAGGTATGCATGCTCCATTCCGAGTGGCAAGTATCGGTTCAGAGAAATGAATTATGATTTAGGTTATTTTCACGGCATTTCGGACACATCCATAGGTGCTCAATTCCCTCTTTAACATATACATTAGTGTCACGTGGTTGATAGTCCCTGTCCCAGTCCTATGTTGGTTGACAAGATTTCTCGTGCGTCTGGTGTGCTTCTCGTGCATCGCTGTGCTGATCTTTATTCCCAGTTCTTGCGCTCTTTGCACAGTTGTGGAAGTGTTGCTCCCAAAATCCTACGAACGTCCTAGCTCTCTAATGGCGTTAATAATGTCGGCATAATCCATGGGCCGGCCTGCTGTAACTAAGGCAGAGCCGGCTAATCTATCGGCCGTTTCACTGCCAACAACACCAGCATTCCCTGGTACAAAGATAAAGGTAACTCCACGCACAGTGAATTTTTGCAATGACTCGATCCACTGTCTGCGTACAAAGCCTGCCTCAACCCGCCGGATCATGCTTATGGAATCACTCAGCACACACACGTGAGAATAGTCCTGCGATGCTAGCCACATGAAAGCCCGTGTTACTGCCATCGCCAACATTGTCCTGCTGCTAGTAGTATTCAGATAAATATATATTAGGCTGAGGACATACAACATGACAACTTTATGTTCTGACAAGGCAGACCAGGTTTCTAGCCTTAGCCTGTAAATGGCTTAGAATAGTACCTCCGATAGGTGTTCAGACCATAAGCCTGTAGATGACTTAGAATAGTTCAAATCATGAAAGCAATCGCGCTGTAAGAGTAACAAGTGGTCTCCACAATACTAACTAGTCTGTGTGCTATGGAGAGATTGCTTTAACTGGTCTCACCAACGCATTTGATTTGATTACTCGCAAAAGTCCGTTAAAGACGCTCCAAGATGTTGGATGTCCAGCTACCCTACTGAGGAGTCGTTACAATCAATTTTGAAGTGCAACATTGGAGTTTAAAACCAAAAATTGAGAAAAAACAAGGATGTGTGTGTGCCCTCATGGATAGGCAAGCCAAACTATTTCTCAAGGCCTTAGAGATGTGGTTTTACAGAAGAATGCTTAAAATACACTGGGCAGCCAAAAAGAGATACCAAGTGGTTTTGAAAAAGGTGGACGCCCGAAGACAACTTATCACAGACATCAGAAGAAAACAGTCATCATTTTTTGGCCATGTTATGAGAAGAGGGAAAATGGAACATGTTGTGACTAATAGAACTATCTGTGGAAGGAGGGATAGAGGAAGACAACGAGAGAAGATTCCTGACAGTCTTTTTTGCATGGCATGAAGGTGTAACAGTCAACGAACTGATACATGCTGCAGGAAATCGCGGATTGTGGAGAGGCATGATCGCCCACGCAGTCGACAAGGCACCTGGTGATGATGATGTGTGTGTGCCGTTACCCGGTTTGGAAAATAATTATCAGATGGCTTTTGAGATCAGGAGGGTGGTATCTTCATCCTTAGTTTAGATCCGACAGCAGCTTCTGTTGACTTCTCCTAGACTGAAAACCAAGCCGTGGTTTATGAAAGCACACATCAGGTGATGCTGCAATTGCAACCCTCTCAGTGAGAGAGCAGACGCCCTGGCTGGCAGTGCGACTATCAGCAATGAGCCATCTATAGACATAAGAGACATCATCAATGCCCTACGAGAGACAAAGCGCTGTGAGGATTCCAGTTTCGTGGAAACAGATTTTCCACTGAATAGACTGCATACCCCTGGGTGTACCCATTGGAGCCGCGAGACCGGAAAATCATGCGGGAGCCATCCGTCGTTACATCAGCCAGAACAAAATGGGGGTTGTTAGCCTAAACATTACTGGGAGACATACTCAGGAGGGGAATCGGAGCATTTATGGTCACGTCCAGTGTGCGAACCTAATCAGAGGTGGAAGGGCAGGTTGCTACCTACAATCACTGATGCCAGTTGTGAATTTTGACTAACAATCAGCAAAAGAAAGACAACGATTGAGGTGCTATGTGCTAATGATAGACGTGCAGTTTTCATTGATGGAGAAAAGACAGAGAAAGGTGATATTTTACATATCCGGGGTCTTCAATCATTAACAAGCTATCACTGAAACAAGATATCCACATGATGATAGGTAAGATCGCAACAATAATAATCATTTTAATAATAAAAGCTCGGCGGAACAGAAAGCTCACTGTGAAAAAACCTTATCTATATCATTGATACCATCAAAGTTGTGTTTTAAGCACTTTTCTTTACGGCAAAAATACAAAGTAAAAGTTGACGTTAAATGGCAAGATAAGAATACAAACACAAAGGTTTTGGGAAAAGCGGGTATCACAACAGTTTTCTTCATGCTCAGTTTTGAAAGGCACATAGGGCTAGGACAAATTTGGTGGAGAGAGTGCTGCAATCGCAAAAGACATCTTTTATTGTCAATTAGAAATGGATAGAAGATGTCAAGGTCAGTGTCTACTACGTTATAAATGATACTAAAGTTTATGTGGCCGGTCACAAGTCGTTCTTGTTGGCTTTTCTAGACTGCTACCGTGTGTTTGCTCTTGCTGGGTCAAGTGTGTTCAGGATTGCAAGTATGAGCAGCACATCCAGAGAGGGGAAATCCAGCGGCATATCAGCGTAGGCACTGTAGACCTACAGACTTGGTTGGTTTCATATACTAAAAAGTATCATTATCATCATCATGCAGCAGGTCCTCTGCAGAACGTCGCTCTCATCACAGTCTGCCTGAAAGAAACTCTTGTCTCTCGCCAGCTCTCCACTTTTTCGCGTGCCCATCTTCGTGCCCGTCGGCCCCTGCCCCTCCTTTCTGGTACCACGCCTTCTGATATTTTTTTCCACTCCGTCGTGACGCTTGATATGACCAAAATTTATCAGCTTCCGAGACAGGGTGCTGTTTATTAGTCAATCTTCCTTGATGTTCAGATATTTCAAGATGTCAGTATTTCTCTTCTTCTTTGTCCAAGATCAGAATGGCATTTCCCAAAACTTTCCAGTACTTTCAGAGGACCAAGAAGTATCAAACCAGACACATAAATATTATATGAACTAATATTAACAAGTGCTCTTTATACCCATAGTATACACAGGCGGATTACAAGACTACAACATTCTAGCACAAGAGTAAAGTCGAGACATTGACAAATAACCAGAACTTTCCGCCGGGGTTTACAGCCGGGAACGCTAAAAAGAAGTGGACAGGCATGCCACCACTAAGAAATCTCTGGGGCTAAATGCCTTAACCTATTCATAATTTGTTTAGTGGGGTTGGCTCAAGGTGATTAAGACATGCTTGTTAAGGCACAGTGTTCCAATATTGTGGAACAAACTTCTTTTTCTTCGCGTTCACCGGCTATAAACTCCAGCGGAAAGCTTTTGTTGTTCGTCTACCTCTGCAGTTTAGTCTTGTTCCAGAACCTGCGTTCTGCGTGCAATCCGTTTTGCATGATGATATACATGCTTCAGGTTCGAACAACGGATCAACCTCATGGCACACGGGTATAAGTGCTCCTTCTTCCTCTAACTTAAGTCTGAGTCCGAAGAAGCTCAGGGGAATTATTACTAGAAGTCCAAGTCCACTTGAAAAAAATCCCAGCCCTTAATTGAACTTGGAACCTCTAGCACTCGAGGCGGATACCATGCCTCGAGACCACCAGCCCTCCTAGATACATGCTTGTTGGGGTGGTAGTGGGTCTCTATTCTTGTTTTTCCTCGCAAAGATTGGGTTTCAACAATCATGCACGGACCAAGTCGAGCATTTAAAAAAATAATAATGATTTTCGTTACTGTGTACTTTACAGTTCAAAGTGTAAACATGGGCGTACACTGTTAGAAATCTTTCTCGTCTCTGTTGTCAAAAAATATGTATTGCCTTCTCAGAATTTAATCAAATAGAAAAGATTTTAAAAATATATATAAGTTACCATCCCACACGATGGATGACGTAGCAGGGAATTACATTTCGACAGAGAGAATTCAAGCTATCCTTGATTACCAATCTCTTATCCAGTATGTAGAAAGAGGTTTGGGACATTTCTCTAAAAGAGGTGAGGTCGGCGTTGTTCAGCCACCAAGAACGGTTGTTCATGTTAACAAAAGTGATGGGTAAGGATATAAGCATTATAAGCTGTTGTTATGAACTTGGCGGTGTCTAGTCTAAAAAAAAAATTGCTTGCAGTGAGTTGAGTTGTGGTTGTAGTATTTCAGGACAATAACAACATCCTCAGTTTGAAACAACGACGATGCTGGTTTACTGGTAGTATCGCGGAGATGTACACAAACACGTCAGTACCAAGGCACTGTACAGCATTGAATCTTCTTCTGTGGGGCATAAGCCCTCAACCAACTCACACCAAGCCGTTCCTTCGCTTTCGCATGCAGCTGTTCCCATATTCATCTTTTCTAATTTCACTCTCTAGCGTAGCTCCCTTCTCCGTGTGTTTTTTTGTTAACATATAATACAGCATTGTATAAAGACATGTTAAATATAAAACTGAACCTGCTTTAAACCCTCTGAATGTTGTATTAGGAATCAACATCATAGCACTCGGGACACACCCATAAGCACACCGTCCCCATCATCACCAGCAAGCAAAGAGTTTGATGGTACCTGTAACTGTTTGTACATCTGTCTCGCCTTTCCTATGAGTGTTGAGCCTCAGCTAGATCCCCTGGTAACTCATCGCAGCTCCATTCTGCTCAGACAGTAATGATCTATTTGTGCCCCCACACCATTCACTCGCTTCCAAAGGGCTGTCACAACATTTAGTTTGTCATACATCAGTTCACCACCAATTGGTTCAGAACCCACCAGTCTCTCTGCCTGCTTGTTTCCTAACACAGCAGCATGACCTGGAGAAAATATCCAAAGGATGCTAACTACCTGTGACCTCTGAAGTGATGCTTCAGTTGTCTTTACAGTTGTACAGTTGTCCTTACAGCTGTACATTTTTCCTTTTATTTGTAAGTTGTTCTCACAGCTCTACAGTTGTCTTCATGGTTGTGCAATTGTCCTTACAGATGTAAAGTTGTCCTCATAGCTGTACAGTTGTCCTCACAGCCGTACAGTTGTCTTCACAGTTGTACAGTTGTCCTCACATTTGTACAGTTACCCTCAAAGTATAGAAGCCCTCACAGTTGTACAGTTGTCCTCACAATTGTACAGTTGTCCTCAAATTTATTCAGTTTTCCTCAAAATTGTACAGTTGTCCTCACAGCTATACAGTTGTCCTCAAAGTTGTACAGTTGTCCTCACAAATGTACAGTTGTCCTCACAAATGTACAGTTGTCATCACAGCTGTACAGTTGTCCTTGTAAGTTGTCACATTTGTACAGTTGTCCTTATAGCTGTAAGTTGTCTGTTCAGTTGTTCTTATTGTTGTAAGTTATCCTCATGTCTGTACAGTTGTCCTCACATTTGTACAGTCATCCTCACAATTGTACAGTCGTCCTTACAGCTGTACAGTATCCTCACATCTGTACAGTTGTCCTTAAGCTGTAAAGTTGTCCTCACAGCTGTACAGTTGTCCTCACAGTTGTTCAGTTGTCCTCAAATTTGTACAGTTACCCTCAAAGTATAGAAGCCCTTATAGTTGTACAGTCGTCCTCACAATTGAACAGTTGTCCTCGAATTTATACAGTTGTCCTCACAGCTATACAGTTGTCCTTATAGTTGTACAGTTGTCCTCACAATTTTACAGTTGTCATCACAGCTGTACAACTGTCATCACATTTGTATCATCACAGTTGTACATTTGTCCTCACATTTGTACAGCTATCCTCAATGTTTGACAGTTACCCTCAAAGTTGCTATATAGTTACCCTTACAGCTGTATAGTTCGCTCAAAGCTATGCTGTTGCACCGACAGTTATTGCATATTTGACTTCAGAGTTGTACAGTTGCCCTAAAATTAGCATGTATGGTTAGTCTTAACTGTTTCCCTAAAGTGGTTTGATCTGAACTAAAGTAAAAAAAAAAATGTTATTCCAGATTAAACTGTTACTGTATGGGAGCTGGTAACCGGTGTCTCCAAAAGTGAAAAGCATATATCCTATTCAAGTTATCTAACCAGTGACTTCTCATGAGAATGAGTTTGTCAAAATCTCATGAACCATAACAGTTCTAAGTAAAGAAAAATAAATTTGAATTCATCATTATCCTGTAACACTGCATGTCACTGGGGTCTTTAGTTGCTGTTAACTGTCTGATTAGCTCCCTCCATCTTTGACAGCCAGATGCAATGGACTTCATGGTTGCATGCCTAAGGCCAGTCCAGTCAGTCAAGTTCTGTATTCAGGTCTTTCTTGGTCTCACTCTTTTCCTCTTCCTCTCTACTGAGTCCTAGGATTTTGCTTTTGAGAGGCCTCTAGACTTTTTTTATGCATTTCCATACCATTGTATTTTTTGTCTTTGAAAAAAAAAAAAAAATGACTGTCATTATTATAATATTATAAATGAGTGTTTCAGGATTGTAAATATATATACATATATTCATATGTATATAATTGAATCACTGAAAACATTTCTACTGTTACAGGTTCTTTGGTTGTATGCCTGTTTACAGTGAAATTGATAACATTTTGGTCACAAAATTGGTGACATTTTTCCCAAATAACAAGGACATTCCAACTCATCATGCTGTCATCATAGTGTTTGACACTGAGACAGGAGTTCCAAAAGCAGTGAGCCTACCTTTTAACTTGTTTCTTAGTGTTAGTGGTTATTATATCAAAGTTTCTTTAATAATTTAAGCTGTTATTGTTTTTTTGTTGTAAGCAGATTATGTCATTTACAAGGGCATAGCTGGGCAGGTTTGTTTTGTTAATGCCCTCTAAGTAGTTCTCAAATGTTCATGACAACTAAGTTTAGACAATTATGAATGATTATGGATTTTATTATATAGATCAGGTAGAATGGTACTTGTCTGAAGCAAGTTAAAGAATTTGAATTTCTAGGAAGTATTTTCTTGGAGGACAGGCGAATAGATCAGGAAATAGAAACAAGATGCCAGTGAGTCAGTGTACTTTTATACCAACTGACACCATTATTAAGATATCCAAACATAAGTGTGAGTGCCAAGAAACAGATTATAAACAGAATATTCATACCAACACTGCTACCAGTGCCAGAGTTGGACAATATCAAAAGCTAACCTATGTAAAGTTAACACCTGTGAAATAAGATGCCAGAGAAAAGCCGCCAACTTTACTGTCCAAGATAGTTAGAAGTGATATTATCAGACAGACTGTAGAAACAACCCATGCTGCAATTCATTGAGAAGCAGAAAATCAAATGGTTTGGTCAGTTAATAAGAATGCATCCAAAACGACTACCAACGTAGGCGCTATGCATGAAAAGATCTGAAGTGAAAGCAAGAGACTGCCCTAGAAGAATATGGATTGTTGTTATTAAAGAGCTTCTACCTCGACATGGAATGACATTAGCCATTGCTGCCCATCAAGCAATGGATCGCAGACTGTTCCTCCCCACAACACTTAAGGGCAGGTGGAAATTGAGGATGATGATGATGCTTTTGTGGATTGATTTATTGGTCTCTATTGACATGGTTATTTGTTTAAAAACTGTTTATTTGTAGATACTTGATGGAGCTGTGATTACTGAGAGGAGAACAGCAGCTGCTTCTGTTGTTGCCACAAAGGTACATATTATTAATGAAAATATAGGGGGTCTTCATGGTGAAGTGGTTAAACTGTTTGCTTAACCTCTGAAAGTTCCACGTTCAAACTCTTTTAGTTTACAAGTGCATGTGTTTTGGAATTATTTATGTACATCACTGGTGCTTTGGACTTTTTTGCTTTGTGGAAGTGGTTATTGTATTAGAGTGAGGCTGAGCAATATGGGATGTTATTGGCACTTTTTTCAAGTAGTGTTCCTTTTTTTGCATATGAGTATATGGTCAAATGTGTTAGAATGCTGGGCTCTTATGCGGGTCCAGGGTTCAAATCCTCATTCCAGGAAGGGTAACCTAGTTAACAAATGCCTACAGAAGTTGGATGTGTTGGCCGAAAGATGCAAATATCGCATGATGATATCAACGGGCACAGCACAATTACATCTTTAAATGAATGCAGAAGAAGAAGAAATTCTCTGTAGGGTATGGGATTTTTCTTTTGTTGAGAGCAAAGATAAAATCCTAAACTGCACAGTCCATGGTGAGAGCACTAGCCATGCAGCCATAAATCTTCAGACTCAACCCCACCACCCCCCCTTTCCCCCCTTTCCCCCACCTACACTGCAGATATTGGTAAATACAAGCAGTTGGGCAGTTCCTTTGTGCTTAACGGAAGCATGTGAATCACAACGAGTGAACTTTTCATCAAATCACGGGCGCAGCGAGAGTTCCTTCCCTTCCAATTCATGCCACGGTGGGTCACATGTTCTGTCCTGTATTGTAGGGATGTTATGAGATGACTTTCTTTCGGCGTTCCCTCGCCTTATATAATGTTTGTGGGATGTTGTGTTGTCGTGAGTCTCTCTGAGGTACCGCAAGGGCTTGAGTACAAGTAAGAAGTACTGCAGGGGAAAGCACCAAAGGCACGACTGTTCGTGAGTATGGAAACTGCTAGTCATATAATTTTTTTTTTTAACTTCCTTTATTTTTTTTTTTAGCATTTGGTGAATGGGAATCCAAAAATTTTAGCTGTGCTTGGGTCTGGTGTCCAGGCAAGGTCCCATTACCGAGCACTGTCAGAGGTTTTTACATTTGATCAGGTAACCATAACAGGTTATACATTTCTTCATATGTGAAAATGTTTTCTTCTTCTTCTCTGTTCCTGTTCTGTCTTTCAGCTTCAGGTTTTGAAGAGGCATCAGGTGCGAGCCCTGGTATGTGCTTTGTAGGTGCTGGTATTTATGGCCCTGGATATTCCATCTATCCGTAGCTTGGATGGTCCACCTCTAGATCTGCTTCCATTATGTCTGAGTGAGAGGACCCTATGGGGTGCACTGTCTGATCGCAGTCCTGACACATGTCCAAACCATTGTTCGTGTTCTGCTGTAGTTTAGCACAGATTGCATGTAACTTCCTTTCCTGATACCAACATTTCTAATCCTGTCTCTTTTAATTACATTTAGGATTTGTCAAAGACGTTTTCTTTCTCTTGTTTTGATTTTTCTTTTCTTCTTTGTTATTATTCTCTACATTTGGCACTTGTAACACAACTTTTGATAAAAATACTGAATATGTCATGCTTGTACTTTCTTTAATTTTGCACATTTATACTTCTTTGCATCTAAACACTTGTTGATTTTGATTTGTAATTTTTGTTTGGTTGGTACCTATTGTTTCATTTTGAGCAGTATTTTCTTGTGTAATCATGAAGAAAGTGAGTGAAAACACATTATTTTCAAATAAGAACTTATCATCTCAGAGTTTTCCAAGCCCATCTACATTATACACAGGCTGTTTGCCTGCTTGGAGACAGCAGCACCTGCCTGAGTTGCTAGAAAATATTCCTGGTATTGAGAGAAAGAATTCTAGCATTTTTTAAACACAAACTGGCGATGTGTTCATTGGTACTAAAAGAGTTTCAAGTTTTAAATGTATTCCTCCTTCTTTTTCATCTTTTGACACCACCTTCTTTGATTTATTTGCATGTCATAAGTGTTAGTTTCTTCTTTTATTTGAGAGCATTTGATTACATTTACATATATTTGCTCATTTTAAATTTGATCTTTAGTCAAATTCTTTGTAAAAAAAAGTCCTTTTTTACACCACTGGAGCATTGGGCGTATAATGCTAGACGCTTGTTTTTTTTTTTTTTAATTGAACAGTCAGCACTCAGTAAATTATGTGGTCAACAACATCACACTGGCCATCTTTACTTACCTGTTCCCAAAGTTAGACTGTGTTGACCTGAAAGCCAAGGTCAGTTTTTTTAAGAAGAAAAAAATCTGACTCAGTGAGGATTGGAACCCAAGACCTTCTACACTACCAAGCCTTCCTGGGATGCTCTGATGTTTAGAGATTTCAGTTAATATGTTATGAATTGTTCTGTCAGTTCATAAACAGGTTTAGTCCAGAATTATGCGGTTAAAAGGATATGCTCTTTCACTTATGTTTACCCTGATGAAACACAGTTTTTGAATGTAGTCGATTTAGTGTTTCAGTTCAAAGGCTTCATTTATTTGCTTTATTTTAATAAATTGTTACAGTAGTATGCACCTGACGAGATACAGTGAAATATGCCAGGAAATAAATTGTCCTATCTATTGTTTGTGTCTTCTTTGTTTAAATTTACAACAGGGAAAACATTGCTTTGAGTCCATAATCTATTTTATTTGTAATTAGTTAACACACACTGTATATTTCCCTACTTGTTTTCTGTTGTTATTATTTTACCATTCACAGGTTCGAATTTGGAACCACAGATTTGAAGGAGCACAGAGACTAGCCACAGAAATTGGAGAGAAATGTCTTGCGTGCTCTTCTGTACAAGAAGCAGTTTTAGGTGCTGATGTGATAGTCACTGTCACAAGTTCTAAAGTACCAATACTTAAAGCTGAATGGGTCAAACCTGGAGCTCATATTAATGGTAATTATAGCATCAGAACAAGTTTTCTGTGTTTTTACATATCATTTCGTCTATATATAATTCTTCTGTTGTTCACTTTTAAAAAAGTGGTTAGCATGTTGTGTTGTGGTTTACATCTAGGCTGTAGTTTCAAGGACTTTTGGCTCAAAGCATCTGATTTTAGCACACTTTGGATCAGTCGTCTTAATTGGCGCGCTTATTAGGAAACAGTAGGTATACCTCCCCTCCACATCCTTAACTAAGGCCCTGGAGTCCACACCCCCCCCCCTCCTTTTCCCTCCTCTACATAACATATGTAAGCTGTCTATGTTCATAAATACATAGACACTTGTTTTTTTTCTGTAAAAAAAAAAAAAAAACTGCCTTATAATGTGTATTAAGAGTAGTATGATCTTTACAAGTCTTTTATGCCTTAATAAGATGACTGAGTATCAAGCTGGTGTCAAAATTTTGTTTATTAACCCTGGCATCCCCAGAAGCATCAAACTGACATCTCCAGTTGGGTCCAATTCCTCATAAATATCACTTAACTGACTTTTGTACAGTGAAATGTTATTGGAATAGTATAGTTAATGCTGTTGGTTTGAGTTTGCACCTGTGCAGCATTTGGTAGATCAGGATAGGAATATATTTACTAAAAGTAGCATGGGGGAGGGGGGGGGGGGGGTCTTGGGAAGCATATGGCTTTGCTAAAGTCATGCAGATGGCTCATTGCTTCTGTAGTAGAGGTCACCCAGCATGAATTATCCAGCCCTGTAAATTTTTTTCTTTTTTTTTTAGGCCCTAGGGAATGTATTCCATCTAATGCTTCATTCTGTGCATGTTTATTTATGACTCCCTTTACGTATCTTTATATGTCCTGTTACGAAAAAAAAAAAAATAACTATACATACTATCTGGCAAAATAATTGTATTTAAAAAGATTTTTTTCCAGGAATTCCTACATGTTCAATATCCATTTTTTCTTAAGCATTCCTGGTGTGAAAGAGTTAAACAGCACTTAGCGGATAATTTGATGACTATTATACTGGCTGCCTTCCCCTTAAGAATGTTGTGGTGTTCATTTTATAAAGCTAGGTCAACCCTGGAATAATTTGTGCATGGAATATCTCAGGAGATACTGTTAGCCATGGTGGTGCAGTTTTTAGATGCCTACCTGTCAACCCAAGGTCTTGGATTGAATCTGCATTGAGACAGAATTTGATAAAATGACCTTCCCTGTCAGATCAACCCAGCTTAAAATGGTACCAGGAAATATCCTAGGTAGTAAAGGCTACCAGCTCAATGTTGGTTACATCCCCCATGAAATTTTGATTCTTTTATTTTAAAAAAAAAGTTATCTTGCATTGATGCACAAATGAGTGAAAGGGTCCTTTTCTTTATTTACAAGAATGATATATGGAGAGAGAGAGAGAGAGAGAGAGAGAGAGAGAGAGAGAGAGAGAGAGAGAGAGAGAGAGAGAGAGAGAAAGAGAAATTCTCTCTTATATCAGTGAATTGTTTTACAAGTTGGTAAAGTACAGGATCCTTTTTTCGTATTGGACATATCATGCTAGCTCATATTTTCATAGACCAGTTGACCCTCAGTGGTAATCCAGTCATCAAAATGCCAGCCGCTTCTACTCCCAGGACATTACCAGGTACCCATTTTAGGGTGGGTTGACCTGGGGACCAAAGTCATTTTTGGAAGAACAACGCTTTCTCCTTGGTGCAGATTTGATGGCCCAGATCTTCAGGTCAACAGGCAAGCGACTTGCCACTACTCTGTCAAGGCTCCTGTTTGTTGCTCATCTATTTTGTTATGAACATTAATGTTGGTTGATACTGACTGACTTCAAGGGAACTTGATTCCAAGGTATATGCATTTTATCTAACTACTGTATTCATGTTTGTGATTATCAGAGTGCTCTCCAGGTGGGTCCTGTGCTCTATTAAGTGGAAAACAAGAATAGATTCACTGCCTCCCTTAAAAAGCATGTAAGAGTAAACTAATTAGGGCTTTCCCTTAAAGTCAGAGTTCATCTGCCTGAGATGCAAGGAACCATTATTCTGCAAACAGATAAACCAAGATCTGTAGAACAGAGGTGCATGCAACAGTCAATTTCTGAAACAAAACTGAAATCAAAAAGTGGACAAACAAACAGAACTTTTTGCCAGAGATTACGACTGGTGAACAGAAAGAAGAAGAAGAAGACACACAATGTGAAATGGAACCGGATAGTCTGTTATATAGTCTTTTATTTATATGACCCATTTCTCACAGTTTATTTTCTAAAGAAAGCTTTTAAGTACAGAGCAATATTGAAATATAAAAAATATACAGAGCACCCCTATTTGAGCTCTTTTGTACCATATCTAAATCATACCATATCATAACTAGCGCATGTCATAGGAGTGAATTATTAGGAGTTTGTTGAAATTAGATGTGGGAGGGGGGAGGGGGGGGGGGGGCTGAGTGGTCTTGAGGTATAGTGTCCACCTCAAGTCCACCGGTGATGGTTGGGATTTTTTTGTGTGGACTTCTAGTAATTTCCCTTGGTCTGTGGGTAGTGAGATCGGACACCCGTGCATATTCTTTTGCAGATAAAAAAAATCCCTTGGCAGTTGGAAACTGAAAAGAGTAGCCTATCAGTGCTGCCCAGGCACAATTTGGAGATAAAAATCTACCAAAAGTATTTCAGGATCCTCGCCAGTGCAACAGAGTTATTGCACTGCGCTGAGTTTCTTCAGACTCAGGCTTGAATTAGAAGTAGAACGGAGCACTTATGAGTGACACCCATGTCTCATGATGTTGATCCATCGAATAAACACAAAAATAGATGTTGTTGGACCAAACAGAACATACATCTCAGCAGAGCTGAAAACCACAACATTTTGTGCCAACCAACTTTTAGAGGTGATTAAAAAATAAATATTTAGAGCAAATTTGATTTGTAATTTCATTTAGTATTTTGTTGTTGTTAAAACAGCTGTTGGTGCTTGCCGTCCAGACTGGTCAGAGATTGATCCCGAACTTATGCGGTCAGCAGTTGTTTATGTCGACAGCTATGAGGGTGCTGAGAGAGAAAGTGGTGATGTGTTACTGGCTCAGGTGAGCACAAATATTGTATATGGCAAGCTCCTGTGTGTTAAACTAGTGTAAAAAAGAGAAATTTTAACTCCTTGAGTATCAGACGGTTTTATCAGAGATGCCCATATGTATAAATAACCAATAGAAAATGACAAAATGTATTGCTTTCAAAGACACCAAATACTAGGGAAGCCAGATTTCTTAGTATGCTGTGACCAGCTATTAAAAGGACTAGAAAATGTTACATGTTGAGTGGAATTCACAACAATTTTGTTTCTCATTAAATTTCAGTCTTGTTTTGAAATCGCTCAGTAGTGCATAGAGTTTACGTTCCACTGTTGTTCTTTCTAGCCAAAAGGTTTGCCTTAATGTATCAAATTCGATGCAGCCCTGGAGTGCATGTTTTGCTGTCTAGGGCACCTTTCCACAGGTGCACATGGCTGATATGGGAGTCACTGTGGCCTTGGCGGCTGTCTTGATAGCCTGGATTTCTGCATCATAGTTATGGCAGCACTTTCCAGTGGCACACTGGACTTATCTCTAGTACCATCCGGAAATTCTGATTATACTCCAGCACCACCATTTCTAACTGGTAGTCTGGTAGTCTGGTAGTCTTAGTTTCAGCTTCATAGCAAACGGGTCACCCCCATCTTTGCTCCGTCTCCTGTGCCAACGAAAAACACACAGAATGTTTATCACAGTATTAGAATTGCAGTTCATCATTGATGGTAGCAGGAAGTCGCCACAACAGATGGCAGCTGCCCACGCGATAAATTGTAATCACATACGGGCACCACAACACTGCACGACAGGCATCGCGCCATTTTCTGAATCTACTTTCACACCAACTTGGTCACAGTCGAAAAAACATTCCACATGCAATCCGCAGCTCACAGGGTCACGCCATGCATTTTCAGAAGCTGGGCGACGAAACTATATCCAGTCCATCCGGCAGAAGCAAAAAAATGTGCTTCTGTTTCGAACAGTGCCGCTGCCTAACGTCCATTTTGACCGGAATTTAATTTCTAACTGAATCTGTATAGACTCAAACCCATTGTTCTTGTTGGTATTCTTCATCAATATAGCTGAGCGGTGGCCATTCTGCATTGTTTACTGTCTTGCTCTTTCTTATTGGATATTCCTTTCACATTTGTCTGGATTTTTCTCTCCATGGAGTTTTTAGTGGATTACTTTTAAGTGGACAAAAAATTTCATGAAGGTCAGTAGTTTTCTGCATGTTCTTTTAGCTTGGTGTATATGTGAATTAGTTTGTTCTCTTCTCCTTCTTCTTTTTTGTATAGCCTTTTCTGTCCTTTTTTTACATCAGGGTTTTAAAGAATCATCTGGTGTGAGCCTTGATATGGGCTGTGCAGATGGTTGGTATTCATGGCCTCATATATTCCATTGCTTGCATGCTTTGTTCTTGTTGCCTCTAAGTGACAGGGCTCCTACGGGTGCACTGTTAAATGTTGTCTTTTTGTGTCATCTGGCACTTGTTCCATCCTGGTTTATTTTCTAATATTGTCACTTCTGATTCTGTATCTTCTTGTTGAATTCAAGATTGGTTGTAGAAATTTTGTCATTTCTTTTTTGTTTTTTTTTTATTGTTAATTCTCACGTTTTGCACTGGGTGATAAATCTGATTGAGCAAAAGTGTATGCTGAAAAGGATAAGGTCTTTTTTGGGACCAAAGAAGGATATAGAAACAAAGTGACAGTTTTCAAGTCTTTAGGTGAGTTTTCAAGATAGGGTTAGTAGTAGATAATATATAAAGTTTTTAGACACATGGTAAATCTGAACCTTGTTCTGTAAATTTATAAATCCTAATAAAGTGTTTATTTTAGAACCACTTGCATTTTGCATAATCAGATCATTCATAAGTTAGGTTTTTCTCAACTCAACTCAGGGCTAATATTCAGCATTATTTTATCTAAGATATAAGTGCTTTTTTGTTTGAACATTTTCCCGCTTTCTTCATTTTTTGGGGGTTTTCTTTCTCAGCACCCCTACCTTGTTGAGCCTTTCCATATATTTGATTTTCAAACTTGTGATATTGTAATATTTCAGTTTTGCAGTTACGTATTCATTTTTGTTTTTTTGTTCATAAATATTTGCATCTATCTGTGTGTTTTTTCCCTTTATCATTAAGAATAAACACTGTCCTAATAGGGGGATGCAATTTTTGTTGTTGTGTTGGAGTCCGAGCCTGGCTGTCATTAGCAACCCTAAATATATAATATCTTGGGTTGAACATTTTTTTTCTTGGAAATGGTTACTCTTTGTATGCACTGGGTGTTTTTAGCTCATGGCAAGTCCTGTTGGGGTTACAAGTCAGTCAGTCATTGTCAAGCCTAGTTACATTCTATCAATTCTTAGCTACCAGGTATAACTGGAGGCATTGTAATCATTCATGACTGTGTTTTATTAGCTGATAGGTCTACTTGTTTAGATTGATTTTTACTATAAATAATGAACAAAGATGAATTAAATTTTCAATATTTGCTAGATATTATGAACAAAGATGAATTAAACTTTGATTTTTACTATAAATAATGAACAAAGATGAATCAAACTTTGGTTTTTGCTAGGTGTAATGAACAAAGATGAATTGAACTTTGATTTTTGCTAGATATAATGAACAAAGATGAATTAAACTTTGATTTTTGCTAGATATAATGACCAAAGATTAATTAAACTTTGATTTTCACTAGATATGATGAACAAAGATGAATTAAACTTTGATTTTTACTATAAATAATGAACAAAGATGAATCAAACTTTGGTTTTTGCTAGGTGCAATGAACAAAGATGAATTGCACTTTGATTTTTGCTAGATATAATGAACAAAGATGAATTAAACTTTGATTTTTGCTAGATATAATGACCAAAGATTAATTAAACTTTGATTTTCACTAGATTTAATGAACAAAGATGAATTAAACTTAGATTTTTCCTAGATTTAATGAACAAAGATGAATTAAACTTTGATTTTCACTAGATATAATAAACAAAAGTAAATTATTCTCAAAATTTAATTATATTTACACAGTTTCTGGTTCATTTTAAGTTTTCCGGCCCAGGATGAGAGTGACTTCCCTTGCCATTCATGCCTCATCAGGTCATAGGACCTCTCCTATGTTGTGTAGGTGTCATGTTTTCCTTATTGTCAACGGTTTAACTGTTCCTTCTTTTCTTTTCCTCTCACCTTCCCTTGAGTGATTATTTTCATGTTCTGCTACCTGTGCGACGGTTTGGGAGTATGGAAACTTCCATATTTTTCTATTCCTTTATTCCTTGCAAGTGCTTTTTTTTTTCTAGAAAAAAGGGGGGGGGGGAACCACCTGTACTTAAGATAGTCAAGAATGGTCGCGCCTGCGGCACTCTTCCTCAGGACAACACAACCTCCCACAAACATTATATACGCAGAGCGACAGCCAAACCAAGCCATATCATGACACCCTCACAACATAGGAGAGGTGCTGCACCTTGTCGAGGCATGAATGGCAGGGGAAGTCACTTTCATCCTGGGCCGAGAAGCTTAGAATGAACCCAGTTTCTTTTTGAAATTGAAAAGAGGACCTCATCCATGCCACTGACACATCGAGAAAATGCTACTAAATTCACATTTAAAAAAAAAGAGTCCTTTATTTTTACTTACTTTACCTATGATGTTGTTATATTGTTTAAGCTGACTAAATATCTTAATCTTTCTTCAAGGTATTGCTATTGAAGATGCTGTGGCAGCGAAATTAGTCCTGGATAAATTGGGACTTCAGCCACCTTAACAGATCTTCCTTATGTAGTTTAAGCATTTATTCACAAATTCTTTCATAAACAAACCTGAAATTAATCGATTTCTATCACATGCATGAGAAAGCTAGAAGAAGACTCTGACTGAAACCAATAATACATGTCCTTCTCTTCTTCTGCCTTTCTAACCCCAGTGGAGTATAGGCCCTCAGCCAACTCACGTGAAGTCATTCTTTCCTTCACTACTGCATGCAGCTCCCCCCCCCCCCCCATCTTTTAACTTCACTCTCCAGCTTCCTTCTCTCTATTTTTTAATTAGTCTTCCTTTATTTTTGTGCGCCTGTGGGTTCCATTGCAAAGACAGTCTAGTTATATTGTTCTCAGGTTTTTTCTTAATGTGTGTCCTAACCAGTGCCAGCATCGCTTCTTCACCTCTTGATCCACTGCAACTTGTTTAGCTTTCTCCCAAAGCTCTACACTAGTGATTCTATCATATCATTTAATTCCCTCTGTTCTGTGCAGACAACTGTTAATGAGTATCTTTAGTTGATTAGTCATTTTCTAAGATGTTCTCCATCTTTCCGCTCCATACAGTAGAACTGATTTGACATTAGAATTAAACATTTTAAGTTTAGTATTAGTTTTAATTTCTTTTGACCTCCACAAATTCCCTAGAGCTTTGAAAGCTGCTCTTGCCTTTTGTATTCATATTTGAATATCTCAGTTCCCCCATTTATAACTGCTTGGAGTGGAATACGATCAATAGAAATCAGAGTACTGTTTGCTTGATTTATTGTCATTATCCTTTCTTTCCCTTATGGATTTTGAGACCTAGCTGTTGTGATCTTGCTTCAAGTACATTCAGTTTATCTTGCATCTGATTCTATGAGTGAGACAGAAAAGAAATATCATCAGCTAAGTCCAGATCATCAAGCTATTTCATAGGGGTCCACTGAATTCCATTCTCAGTGTTAACAGTTACTGTCTTTATAATCCAGTCTATTGCCAGTAAGAATAGGAGAGGTGACAAAAGACGTACCTGTTGCACACCTGTTTTTATTTTAAATGTATCTGTTAGCTTTCCCTCATGAAGAACAGGACATTTCATATCTTTAATTTGCAGAGATTCCATATCAATGATGTCAAAAGCTTTTTTGCAATCTATTAATTCAATGTAAAATTGTGAATTCAATGCTTTGCTTTATTATTATACGTAATGTGGCTATCTGGTCAGTACAGAATCTGTTTGGCCAAAAACCTGCCTGTTCATCTCTTAGCTTTTATCAATAACATCTTTTAGTCTTTCCAAAATAGTCCTGCTGAATATTTTCCCGGGAACTGATAGCAACATAATTTCTCTACAGTTCTCACACTCCTGTAGATCGCTTTTTTTAGGCAGTTTCATAAGATATCCTTCTCTCCAGTCTGCTGGTATTTCTTCAGTCTCTCAGACTTTACTGTAATAATCTTCAGTTCCTTAGAAAGCAGCAAATGAAATTTTGTAGCCGTGTGATGATATTTTTGGCCTGGTACCTGTTACCACAGAGATCCATGATGAAGAAATAAAATGAAAGCAAAATAAAAGGAACTCTGTGCAAAATATGAAATGATGGCTGCAGAACAATCTGGTTAAAGAAATGTGGGCCAATTTTTAGTGCTCATGATACAACAGCTTTTCATATAATTGGTGGAACACAAGGTACACTTATTTAAGGCAAAATATTGTTGTAAAACAAGACTAACCATAGGAAAGAGAAAGTTATAAAGTGACAACTGTCATCTTTCTCTGAACATTAGACCTAACCCTGAAAATAAGCTCTAGAATGATTTTTTTTTTAGGGTTCTTGTAGGCCTACCCCAGACCTGTGTTAAGATTGTCAACGAGATGGACAGATTTGTTTGTCCTTCAAAAGTCTTCATTGACATTTTTTTAATTAGAAGTAATGAAAGTATAAATAAATATAGATAAATAATATTACTGACAGTAATTTTCTGCTTTTTCTTCAGCATTCCAAGCCCTGAGGTTCATTACTGCAGATATCTGCCACTTCCACTCATTTCTCTAGTTGGCTTCTCTTTTCAGCTGGTGACACTAATTTTTTGCAGGTCCGTTTGGACATTATCTCTCCATTGTCTTCTTGGTCTGCCTCGTGGCCTATGACTATTTAGTTCCCTTGTGTATAAATTTTTTACTTTTTTGTCATCTGATATTCTCTCAATGTGCCCCAGCCATTTCAGTCTATTAGCTCTCATGATGCCAGTGATCAATGTAATTTAAACAAATTATAAATTTCATTGTTGCTTCTCACTCTCCATTCCCCGCTGTATGCATCTTTGATGGGTTCAAAGATTCGTCGTAAGACTCTGTTTTCAAAAACCTGTAATAAGGCTTCATCTATTTTAGCTGTGCTCCAAGTTTCAGAGCCATATGTTTGTTTTGTTTGTTTGTTTTAGTATCCAGAAGCCATGAGTTGTTAACCCTTAGGCTCGGTATTATGGATATCGCAACCTTTCGGCTTTGATTCCATTTTAAATACCGTAAATCTGGGATAAATGTGGCTTTTCTGCCTACTCCCGGGAGTGAACCCGGACCACAAAGAGTTCGTCACCCGCTCACCGCGCAATCCGGTTTAGCCAACTACGTTAGAGAGACGGGCGTTTCAGAGCCATATAAAACGACTTGTCTTATCAATATTTTATATATTTTGATCTCGGTGTTGCGAAATAGAGACTTTGATTTAAGCAGATATTGAAGGGTATAGTATACTTTATTTGCAAATTGTACTCCAGGTTGTATTTGGGATTGTATTTCTCTTCTCAGTATGTTGGAGCAGTTGAAGAATGAACCCAAGTACTTATTTGTTAACGTTTTTTTGATTTTCATATTATTGATATGCGTTTATATCTTTTTCCTGTCTTGTTATTATCATATTTTCTGTCTTATCTTGATTGAAAACTAGTCCCATTTTGTGAGCTGCTTCT